TGCCAAACCGCCGTTGAATTTTGTGGCGAGGCTTGGCCGTGGTGCCACGGGCTTCACTACCCGTTATGATATTGGTTCGGCATGATTGAACTTTGAGTGTATAGGATTAGGGTTTGCAGTTTGGTGGATCGTGGGAGGAATTTGGGATGAAATTGTGTTGACTGGTTGGACGTGGGCGGTTACAATATGTGAGGAAATAATCTTCTTACCTAATACTTCGGGGAGTAATTTTTGGGAAGGTTATAAGATTTTCATTAATTACTCTAAAAATTGATTACACATGTAAATTAATTAATTTATTGACATCAGGTAGTTTTGCAAATACAAAGCGCAGAGTTGGTTGATTTGCTAATATTTATGACTTAGCTTAATTTATGTAATAAAAACTTATATCTATCGTACATGATGCAAATTACTCTTAATTGAACTCCTCCTGGGCCACGAACCTTTGGCGGTCTAGGCTCATCATCAATCCTTGCTTAATGGTTTTATTGATCGTGTCAACCTGCTGATCGTTAGACTAGGGTGGTAAGGTGTAGAAAACTAGTGTTTAATATGTAACTCTTTAATGAATGATTCAAAATTTTGCTCCTCCAAACTATTTAGTGTTGTCGGTCATGATGGAGTAAAGGATCCCAAATTTAAAAATAATTGTTTTCTAGAAAAATTTCACCATTTTCAATTTATTTGATTAACTAAGAGCATGGAATCGGAGAAAATACCTAGAGTGGTTATCCCCAATAATGGTCCATGGAAAATCTTGACACAAGCGCCTTGTATTATGGCCGAGCTAGTAATAGTATGGTTAAAATATAGTACTTTTCCTGATTTTAGTTTTTGTAGGATGGGAGCTTGCACTAGTGCAGACTTATTATTCCTTTTAAACACCTCTTGGCATTCGTTAGTCCATTCGAACTTTTTTTTTTTTCTTTATGGCTTCAAAAAATAGTTTGAAACGATTAGTGGTTCAGGAAATTTTTAATGACAAATAGGATTTATTTGAGACGTGACAATGAAATAGAGCAACCCATGAACCATTGGACAAGTTATTAGTTATTTACTTTCATCTTCTATTGTCATTCTTAATGACAAATAGGATTTATTGGAGACGTGACAATGAAATGGAGCAACCCATGAACTATTGGACAAGTTATTAGTTATTTACTTTCACCTTCTATTGTCATTCCTTAGGACTTTCTTATCTTAACACATAATGGTGCCTTTTTAAGAGCTATTGTAAATAATCACCTTAAAAAAGCAATATATTGTCACTTTATGTGTTGTTCTTAGAGCATCTCCAACCAACTCTACCAAGAGGAAATGGCTTGGTTGGAGGGAATTTATCTCCAACCAACTCTCTATTTCTGCATGAGACGACACCGACCGTTCCACTGTTCACCCTTTTTCAGCTTTTTTTTAGTTAAAAAATGAATTTGGGTTGTATTTTGGGCTTATTTAGATGTATTGTGGTTGGGCTTTTTTAACTACAATTGAGTTAAATGAATTAATTAGTTTTATGAGTTAAATTAAAATATTTTATAAATATTTTAAACTTAATTATTGTAATTAATATGGTAAAATTTTTAAGTAGTATAATGGAAAATTGAATACTTTATTAATTAATATGATAGAATATTAATTAGTATTTAAATTCACTTAAATAAATATTTTAAACAAACAAGTTAAAATTACAAAATAAGGATAAACATTTAACTGTTCAAACATTAAAATTAAAATCACAACTAAAATTAGAAAAGAATATGCTAAGAATATCCTTTTAGAGAGAAATTATAGAGAGAATGAGTTGAAATTGCTTTTAGAGGAAAATTATAGAGGGAATAAGTTGAAGTTGGTGACACTGTTGAAACTGTAAAACTAGTAGAATTTCTCTAGACTTAATAATTCGGCCTAAGTTTTCTTTCTACTCATAAATGAAATCACCCATCTCTATTTGATGTCCCAACCCATGTGTGGATGTCCAACTTTTCTAAATTTTCTTTTTCAATTAGTAATCCGAAGCGGGAGATAATTTGTCCTGTCGGTGAAGCTTTACAGTAGCAGTTGTAGTTAGAGCTTACTATAGGTATGTCAGTAGAATGGTGGTTAGAGCTATTTAAATGAATTATTCAACGTTTTTAGACTTTTTATTTTCTTACTTTTGGTGTGTGCTTTATTTTTGTCAGCCAAAGCAAAAATCTTTAACAAAAGACACTAACTTTTGGATGAAATAAGGCTTCAATACTACGTGATAACAACATTTCGTGCTTCTTATGCTCCCACATCAATACAAAAGGAGCATAAAAATTTGGCTATTCTTTGAATCATCACTATATATGTTCCTGATCTCTGTCATCTCTCTTCAACAACATCTTTCGTGCCGNAAAAAAAAAAAAAAAAAATTACACAATTCAACCTTGTGGCTACATTAAAAAAATAGCCCACTGAAAAGTATCTATACAATACTCATTAATATCAAATGAAGGAGACATGTGAGGAGGAGCCAGAAGAAGCACTAGAACTCGACTGACCCTTCCCTCGTAACGTGGTTAGTTTCGCAAAAACTCCAACCAATGGAGCTGTATTGTACGTACATGCTTCGGTTTGCCTGAAATTTCCCCTTCTATCGTCAAACTCGTCATTTCTATCGGGCCCACCAACAAGGGCTCCAACCAAAACGTTGGGGTTGGACAGCTGGCGTCCATACCAGGTATCATACCCCTGAGTACACCCAACAAAAACTTTGCTATCTCTGTACGAGTCCATCGATGCACCCCTATGGTGGACTCTACGTGGATAATTGGGCCCGTACCCGACCAAGTAGCTCAGGCCCATTGGGTTTGAGCCCAGAATATAGGCGACTTGAGATTGGACTAAGGAAAGGATCTCAATGGGCTCCACAGAGCCCGTGTGGCATATGAGGGTTTTATTGGCTGAGGTGAGGTGTTGGGAGTATACTGTGAGTAGGAATAGTGCAGTGGAAACGTACTGCATGTTGTTCCATTGGCGGGTGTAGAGGAGTCCACCTGGGGTGCGCTGCACATTAGTAAAATTGTTCTTGTTCAAGCAGCCACATATGTAGTGTTCTGCCTTTGACCGATATTTTTTGAGGATTTGCTTTTGTTGCTCGGTTTTGCCTTCCGTTGGCAACTGCAGAAGCACAAAGTTTTCATAGTTAGAATGTGTAGTGCATATATGTGTTTTATCAGGTCATCTTTTCACCTTCTTTTTAATTTCCATTATGAGAATTCATACAAGTACTTTTGCCGCTTCTTTTGGTGATTAAAATTTTTAAACATGCACCAATGATGAAGGTGCCCACCAAGAAATGTTTTTTATTTTTGCGACTTTTTCCTCAATCCGCGGTCAAAGGTTAGGGGTATGAAGGGAAAGTGAGGTAAAAATGTTGTGATTTGGTGTTTATGAGAGTGGTGATCAATCAAGAGTTGAGAAAAAAAGGTGACTTATATCTGATGCTAAACTTACTGAGAGAGGATGGTAACACATTGTCCCCACTGGATTGAACATAAGCCTAACATATACTTTAAAGGCTAAAGCAAAAGCCAACACTTGATAATATGCAACATGAATATATGCTCTTTCACAAAAACTGTCCAAACTCTCCAATTAAATTAAAATCAGTTGTTCCTATCTTTAATTTGGTTAAAGAAAATATTTTACGAACCAGTCAAGACTGAGTTGGTGACTCGACCAATCACGCTCTTTTCACATAAAAACGTAAAGTTTTTCAAAACAAGTTAACATTCTTGTTTTACATTATTTCTAAAGTCAATGCATTTCATGGTGGAAATAATATATAGCCTCTTATTGGAAATGTTCATCTGCCCATTCCATCAGTCTGACTGACTAACATCAGACCTACAATTTCTTAACTAACTATGCATCATCATGAAATGGAGTAGATAAAAAAAGAAACAAAAAATATAAACATTAATGACAAGAGATGGATCCAATTATATCTGAATTGAAAGAGAAGAATGAATAATTACCAGAGAGGCAATGATTTGAAGACCAGCGTATTTAACGTCCCAACTGAATTCGGTGACGGCCCAAGTGATCCCACCATAAGAATAGGCATTCTCAATGGCATAATTCAAGTAATGTACATTGTCGGTGGCCTTATACAGCCACAAAGCTGCCCACAACAACTCATCCATGTACCCGCTCACAGACGAGTAATACCCCTTTGCTCCTTCTATACTCTCGTCATATTTGCCTCTGTACTTGTCACCAAACTCAAATAACTGCACCATATCAAACCACTCCCAAATTACTCAACTAATTAGGAAAATCTTAACTAAAGGATGTTATTATCATGTAATTAATTAGGTGGTTAACAATTATTCATGCGCAATAGATAATTTGTGGCATCAACATCAATATCTATTGAATTCCTTTAAAAATTTAACCTGCTGCGCGTGCTCCAGCAGAAGGTGGGCGTAGTGTGGGTTTGATCTCCTGAACACGATCGCGGCCGCCGCCATAGCAGCCGCCGTCTCCGCCGCGACCTCCGTGCCCGGATTTTGCTCGTCCAGCTTGTAAGCCCGGCGGGACGTCGTCATGTCCTCCGGCCGCTGCCAGCACAGGTGGTCGGTGTCCCCATCACCCACCTGCAACACAATTGCATATTAAGTCAAAAAAAAAAAAAAGAGGAAAATCCACATTAATTAACCCCATTGTTTACAGAAAGCGGAGTTAATTCCGCATCTTTTTGACCTAAGACGATTGTTTTGTTTCACGAGTCGTTTGATGAGACCGACACACTTTGGTTTAGAATGTGGCTTCAAATTTGTGGAGCCCACCGGGAAGAAGACTTTTCAAGTTATTATTACTATTATTCCCAACACCGCACAAGGATTCAAATTAAATTAAAATAAATCCTCCGCCGTGATTTGGGGATTAATTATGAAATAAAAAGTGGGCATTTGAAATAAAAGAGAGAGTAATTAATTAATTAATTAATTTACCTGTGCCCAGAAAACATGGGGACTAGAGTGCGCCTTGATGAAATAATCGGTCCCCCATTTAATAGCTTGGAGGGCATGGGTGAGCTCGCCGGCGGCGGCCATCTGATCCCGGAATTCGATCACTCCCCACGACAGCATTGTGATGGTGAAGGCCATCGGAAGACCAAACTTCACATTATCCCCGGCATCATAATACCCTCCCACCAAGTCCACCTAATTTACATTTATTGATCAAAAAATTAATTAAAAAAAAAAAACAAAATACAGAACCATAATAATTTTTTATTTTAATTAGTAGTGCGTTACCCCCTGTTCGAGGCCGTCGGTGAGGCCGGAGTGGTGGCGCCACGTCACCCTCTGACTGTACGGCAGGCGGCCCGACCGCTGGGCCTCGAAGTAGAGGAGGCTTTTGGAGAGAGCATCAGAATAATCGAACAAAATCTCAGACAAGGTAAGAGTGGGAAAGAGGGAAAGAATTACTAAAAGTAGGCACCGTTTGGGGTCTGCAAAACCCCTGCATTGCATTTGCCTCTTCTCACTCATTTTTTTTTTCCTTATTAAAGAATAAATAAAGAGAAAAAAGGTGGAGGAGAGTGAAGTTGGTGCTCTGTGAATTAAGTTTGCCTCCTCTCTTTCTTCTCTGTTTTTGACGGTATGTCTTCCCTCTCTTTATATAGCATGCTTGGCACGTGATATAGGAATTTTTGCATGAAGTCATTGTTTTTGTAATTATTTTATTTTCTTCCTTTTTTTTTTTATTAATTTAGTAATTAGTAAGTGGTTAGTTGATATATTTTTTTTTTTCTTTTCAGCGATTTTGACTTGAGGAGATTAAGGTAGGCTATCAAGTATCAACCTGTTGTGTGTGTGGAAGATGAACGACTATAAATTCTCTTCTTACCAAACAAATTATCTACTATTCATCGTTTTTATAAATGATAAATGTGAAAATTAATATTAACATATTCAACAGGAAATCACCAATTCACCAAATATGAATATGAGATGAATACAATTGTGGGTCCTACTACTCCTTGGGAAGACGGATGGATGTGGAGCAGTTGGTGAAGTCAAACTTGGTCTGACCGGCGTAAGGCACATCTCGCGGCCACATTGTTCCATCCATGTGCATAAAGGGAAAATTTAACAGTCCCTCTGGAAATTCTGATTCTTACCATACGCCTAAATTTACTCTTTATAATTTTTTTATTTTTTTTTTTT